ATAAGAGATGTTGTTTCTTTCATGATGTATACCATGTTATATACAATATCAAATAAAGAAATGATGCTTACCTATGAAGGGAAACCTCCCCCCCAAAAAAAAAAATTAGATTTCAATTTAAAATATTAAAAGAAATAAATATTTAAGTTCAAAAGTAAATCTGAACTATAGAAAAAAAAAACAAATTGAATTTCAGAAAGTATTGATAAGACAAAGAATAAGAAAAAAGAAAAGATTATTAATTACAATATTATATAAATAAAAAAAACAAAAGTAATATTGACATATATAAATTTATTGACCAATAGTAATACAATTGCAAAAACTTTTACAAAGACTTTATGAAATAAAATAAAAAAGAAAAGAAAATAGTTAGGAATATAATATAGTCAAGATTTTGTCAAGGTGAATTGTAGTAATGAATTGTAAAAAAGAGGAAGCAAATTTATTCATATTCAAGGTGATGTCTAAAGATAAACAATCAATAATGGATATTCAAGTATTAGTTTAATTTATGCATAAAAGTTTTGTTTTAGTATATTTTCAATTCCAATAATTAGACATAATAAATACTTTTTTGATTACAGAAAATATATATATATATGAAAAGAATTTAACAAAATAAAAATATTTACAATATATAGTAAAAAATTTAGCAAAAATAAATAAATAAATAAAATAAACCATAAATTTTATTAACAAAATGTTAAAAAAAAAAAATCAAATGTGACCAAATATATACTGTATGTTAAATAATTTATGTAATTTTTAATACTACTTTATAATCAAAACTTATATTATATAAATTTGAATTATTTGAATTATTATTTATATTTTTATCAAATACAAATAATGATTGAATGATATTGTGTCAATAAATCATTTTTCAATTAGGAATACAGTATTATTATTCAATATACAGTATCACGATTGATATATTTAATAGAGATGTTATATATCGTATAACAATAAAAATTTTAATTTCTAGTATGTTTTACGATGAATTTTATTTAGATCAGTGTTACAAAACGTATGCTGGTTACTGTCGACTTAAAGAATCAATAAATATAAAACACTGTATAAGAGATATATTATTAAAATTTATTTATGAATTGTCAAAAAGTTTCAAACCGTTTTGCAACATGCTGCATACATGGAAGTATCAGGGGCAATTTTCCTATATAATTAAAGTAAGTACCATCACAAATTATTTTTCAATAAAAAGTATATTTTACATGGAGACTTGATTTTTTTTAAAAGCTCGAATTTCAAAAATATTGTTAATTAAAAAGTTCAAATCATATCAATTCTATAAATTATTAGAGATTCTATTGATAATATTGATTTACTAATATCATCTGACAAATTATAGGGATATTGGTGGATCCTACGCGCACATACAGTAAGACATAAGCGTGCATGAGACGATTTTTTATTGATTTTTTATTGATTTTTTATAGATTGTTCTATCTTTCTCCTAGTTTTCCTTATCTACAGAAAATCCAAAAGCAAACCCATTCTCACCATCACAGTTCTTAATTTTGTTCCATACCGATGACGCAAGTTCACTGGATTTTGCGAACTCATTTAAATTATCATCAGCTGTTTCAAGCTTCTCCAGTACACCGGGATAAGCTTTTCGAAATTTTTCGCAGAACGCATTGTAAATTTCTTCATGGCATGGCCATAT